GACTTAGCTCAGTTTTTTGTAACCAAGAAAGTATCTTAGTTTCGCTGTTCTTAATCTCGTCTACAGAAAGGCTGCAATCTTGAACAGGTCTCGTCTTGTTACTGATTCTCTTGACGAAACGCAACACCCATGCGTACACCCGAAGTAGCATCATCCACGATGAAAACTTTGATGACAAATTTTGCAATACAGCATTTTCAGTTCTCTCATTGGTTGTATGAGCGAAGACTGTGAGTTTGACCTCAGGATCATCAGCTATATTCGTATCTGTGATGTAGGTCTGCGGCCAGTTATCTTCATCGCTAGACAAGAAGTCAGGACCTGTAACCCATTTGGTTATCTTAAGAGTACCTCTGGAGCCCTCATTCGACGGATTATTTTCACTCTGTACATGTCTCCATTGGTGTGGTTGCGATGATTCTCTAATTCTCGTCACACAATTCGCTACAAAGGTCTTAAACCTCTTACTCTCATTGTTAATGTAGCCTAACACAATCATAGAATCGCTCCAGAAAGTAGTCTCAGTTAACTTGAATCGAGGAGCAATCTCTCGTCTTACGATGCCATCTAACTTCACCGCTAAGACTGCAGCTAATAATTCTAGCCTTGGGATAGATACTTTCTTTAGAGGTGTTACCTTGGCCTTTCCCATTACGAAGCTGACATCAATACTACTGTTATCTGAAATTGTTCTGAAGTATGCGACTGCAGCATATCCCTTTTCAGAAGCGTCGCAGAACACGTGCAATTGGATGCTGACAGCACTTTCTAATTTCAGCCAGCGTGGAACTTTAATGTCTTGTAGGTTTTTGATACTGGAGGTCCATTGATTCCATACCTCAGTTTCTTGTGCTTTGAGTTCTTCATCCCACTCAGAACCTCTTCTACATACAGTTTGCAACAGTGACTTAGCAAATAAAACAAATGGCGCTGCAAATCCAAGCGGGTCATAGATTGAGCTGGTCACCGACAATATTCCCCTTCTAGTAGGCGGCTTGTCCTTGGTTTCGACTTCAAACTTGAAGCTATCATTCTCAGAATCCCAGCAAATTCCCAACGTCCTTTCAGTCGGCAACTGGTCCAAGCTTAGAGGAACAGATGGTGCTCTTTCTGTCTCTGGAATTGTGTCGAGAACTTGACGGTCACTACTCAACCATTTCGTCAGACGAAATCAATCCACCAATATATTCCGCAACTTATGTGCTAACTCTATAGCTTCACTAGTATCTCTGATGGACGTTAAGCAGTCATCCACATAAAATCCATTTCGGATCACATCAACAGCTCTTCTGCCAATATCATCTACTTGCTTGCTTTCACTGTCGTCAGCAGTTCGCCTCAAAGCATACCCTGCACAGCACGGGGAGGATGTAGCTCCGAAAAGATGAACCGTCATTCGGTATTCACTTGGTGACTTTGAAGTATCGCCATCTTTCCACTATAGAAAACGTAGTACGTCCCTATCACTTGGTTTAACATGAACTTGGTGAAACATAGACTCTATGTCAGCTACCAAAGCAATGTGCTCTTGCCGAAATCTTAAGAGTACGCATACCAAGTTGCTGATTACTTCTGGCCCTTTCAACAAGTTGTCGTTCAAAGAAACACCTCTCCATTTGGCGGCACAATCGAACACCACTCTTACTTTGTTTTTACGTGGGTGGGTCACTGGATGATGGGGTAGATACCACACATTACCTTCTACGCCTTTCTGGTCTACGACTGGTTCGGCATGTCCCTTCGATATGTACATTTCTAGAGTCTCGACATATTTACTCTTCAAGTCATCATCTCGGTCTAGTTTACGTTTCAAACTCGCCAACCTACTCTCTGCCATGGGCTTGTTACATGGTAAGGAATGACTATCATACTTCCAAAGAAGTCCTAATTCGTAGTGTTTGGTATCTAGCAAAGTTGTCGTTGTAGCTAAGATATCTCTTGCTTTTCTGTCTTCAACAGAATCTTCTTTAACTTCTAGGCCTTCATTGTCTAGTTCCCACGTACACTGCAACTGCTGCATCAGTTGGTCATTCGTCACAGAAACAGTGATTCGATTGGAGATCAGTTTCTTCTTTGTAGCATTCCCTGGACCCATTACGCACCATCCAAGGGAGGTTCTAATGGCGTATGGTTCTTTCGCTTGACCTCGCCTTTCTTCATGAACCCAGAACGCTTCGGACGTATCAGCGCCTATGAGTAGTTGGACATCTTGACCTGCATCGACATCTATGGGCAAGTTCTTAAGATGATCCCAAGAGCGTAATTCTTCTCGATTCGGAATCGAATCTTTCCCAGCCGGAACACTTTCCACTGTTAACACTTTCAATGACAATTCTTTCATCTCTTGGGTACCACTGACTTTCACGTCAAATGAAAAGCCTACCTTATCTTCGTCACCATTTACTGTTGTCGCAGTGTATCTAACCTTCTGTCCAGCGACACCAAGTTTCCTTCGCAAAGCTTCGGAGCAGAGACTGGAGTCTGAACCGTTGTCTAGCAAGGCTAATGTCCTTACCATGTTCCCGTTGCTTGATACAACTTCCACTGGAACCGTCATCAAATAGACATTTCGGCCACTCACAGCTGCGCAGGACTTGATACTGTTTGGGTTAACACTTTCTGGTGGATGCAACATGTCATGATGCCTTGTGGATTTGCACATCTTACATTCTGCCTCTCGATGACACTTCGAAGCTACGTGGCTGGGCAACAAGCATCTGTAACATAATCTCTTAGATCTAACAGTTTTTAGTCTTTCATCATAACACATATCAATAAATTTCTTACAAGCATAGATTCTATGATCTTCACTACATGCGAAGCATGTTGGACCCTTTGAAGTTTTAACAACATTAGTCCTAACTTTCGGCCTTTCTACTTCTTTGGGTGTATGTAATCTACTCCCGGCTTTACCAACACTTCTGCTGAACATATTACACGATATTCATGCTTGCTTTTCTACAAACTTAAGCATATCCAAAAATGTGGGTTCACTACTCTCTAAAATATCATGAGCTACATTTGCCCATTTGTTTTGCAAAGCAGTAGGCAATAACGATTGAACCTTTAATAGATTGCTCGTACTATTGAGGTCGCTAGTGTACCCCATTTGAGTTAACGTTACATTGCATTTCTTCATTACGCTAACAAGTGACCATAGTGCTTCACCGTCACCTACACTGATTTGCTTTCTATTAAGCATATCACTCATCAAAGCACTTAATAT